GTGGCTGGCGCCTTAGCCACTTGAGCCACAGGCGCTGAGCCCGCCCAGCTGTTTTTATAGACAAGGTGTCTCGTTCTGTCTCAGGCTGGTCTCAAAGCTGAGAGCTCAGGCCACCCTTCAGCCTTCCAGAGTGCAAGGATTATAGGCATGAGCCACCGCGCCCGCATGAAATCCTGTCTTTAAAAAAAAGAAAATGGGCTAGATGCCATGGCACTCTACCCAGGGGGACAGCTTGAGGCTCCTGTCTCAAAAAAAAAAAAAAAACAGCTGGGCGGTGCAGCACCTGTGGCTCAGTGAGTAGGGCACCAGCCCCCCCATACTGAGGGTGGCAGGTTTGAACCCAGCCCCAGCCAAACTGCAATAAAAAATAGCTGGGTGTTGTGGCAGACACCTGTATTCCCAGCTACTTAGGAGGCTGAGGCAGAGAATTGCTTAAGCCAAAGAGTTTGATGTTGCTGTGAGCTGTGATACCATGGCACTCTGCTGAGGGAGACAGGGAGACTGTGTCTCAAAAAAAACAAAAGACAGTATCTCTCTCTGTTGCTCAGGCTGAAGTGCAGTGGTGCACTATGCTGCTGTCATAGTTCACAGCAGCCTCAAACTCCTTGGTTCAAGCAGTCCTTTCACAATAGCCTCCCAAGTAGCTGGGACTATAAGCACACACCATCATGCCTGGCGAATTATTTTTTATAGGCACAAGGATTTACTATGTTGCCCAGGGTGGCCTAGAACTCCTGGTCTCAAGTGTTCCTCTCCTGTCATCTCCCAAAGTGCGGGGATTATAGGCATGAGCCACTGCACCCAGCCTGCTCATTTTTTTATAAAAATGGAATAATAGCCACCTTGCAAAAGTAAGCTGTTGACCCTAGAGTTCTGAGTCCAGGTTCTTTATCCCAGCTCCAGTCCTTGGAAAGAAAACATTCCCTATTTTAGAGAAAGTGTGTAAATAGGAAGAACAGTAGAATTTGTTCCAAAATGAGGACACTCAAAACACAGCAAAGGGGCTGGGCTCGGTGCCTGTAATCCTAGCATTCTGGGAGGCAGAGGTGAGTGGATCACTTAAGTTTAGGAGTTCCAGACCAGCCTGAGCAAGAGTGAAGCCCCCATCTCTACTAAAAATAAAAAATTTCTGGGCATCATTTCTGGCACCTGTAGTCTTAGCTACTGGGGAGGTTGAGGCAAGAGAATCACTTGAGCCCAGGAGTTTAAGGTTGCTGTGAGCTATGACATCATAGCACTCTACTTCAGGGCAATGGAATGAGACTCTGTCTCAAAAAAAATCCCCAACAATAAAAAAAAGGAGAGCTCTCCTTCAAGGGCTCTCTGTGACTCTGACTGGCCAACTTGCTTTCTGCCTTTTCTTGGCATTTTTCTTATGAAGTAGAGAGAATCTGTGTCGTGCCTCCCTCTCGGCCCTGTCATCTAAAAATCTGACAACACTCCTAATGCCCTGTCAGGCCCTACTTTATTTATTTATTTACTTATTTATTTATTTGCAGTTTTTTGCCAGGGCTGGGTTTAAACCTACCACCTCCGGTATATGGGGCCCGTGCCCTACTTCTTTGAGCCACAGGTGCCACCCAGGCCCTATTTTGTAAGGGCTCCAAGCTCCTTTTGCTTTTTTTCCCTCAACATCTGGACATAAAGCTTCTAAGGGATAGGTCCACATTTAATACATTAGGTGTGTTCCCACACATACACTTAATTGAGATATTCAACATACACTGCTTGAATGAGTCATGTTCTGAACCAGAGCTAATACATAGTGGTTATGACAATAGGCTCTTCTGTGTGATTATGAACAAAGCCAAACTGATAAACAGAAAAAGGTCTACTAGATAAGTTTTGTTAAAAGGGCAAGAAACAAACTTTCCAGCTAATTCAATCACAAGTGACATTTACATGTCATTAATAATTGATTTTGGATTTTCTTTTCATATACAGAGGATGTGTGTTTTGTTTTGCTTTTTGAAGCAGTATCTCTTTTGCCTAGATTAGTGCACAGTGGTGTTACCACAGCTCACTGCATTCTCAAACTCCTGGGCTCAAGGGATCCTCCTGCCTCAGCCTCCTGAGTAGCTGGGACAACAGGGTGAACCATCACGCCAGGCTAATTTTTCTACTCTTTTTTTTTTTTTAAAGACAGAGTCTCACTTTATCGCCCTTGATAGAGTGCCGTGGTGTCACACTGCTCACAGCAACCTCCAACTCCTGGGCTTAGGCAATTCTTTTGCCTCAGCCTCCTGAGTAGCTGGGACTACAGGGGCCCGCCACAATACCTGGCTATTTTTATTGTTGTTGTTGTTGTTGTTGTTGCAGTTTGGCCAGGGCTGGGTTTGAACCCTCCACCCTCAGTAATGGGACCGGTGCCCTACCCACTGAGCCACAGGCACCGCCTTACTTTTTTTTTTTTTTTTTTGAGACAGTC